GATGTGACACTAAAAAGACTTCTTAACAAATTTAAATTGTAAAAAATCCAAAATCTAAAGACACGACCCTTTAGCAAAAAACACAAAGTTATATGTAAAAACAAAATGCAACGTCCATTGAAGACCTCTGTCTATCAAGCCCCGTCCGGTGGTTCAAAATGACTGTGTGAGATGCAGAATTTCATTCGCTATCGTACGGTAGCTGATTCTTGTACCAGGCATACTATTATTATTCAAGCATGACCAGTGACTTTATACAAGTGTGTAACATATGGAAATTTATTCTTCTTTGAATGATATGGAACCCATGTAGCAGACATACTTGGGAACGAAGATTTTCTCACCTATGTGAGATACATCCACTATCTTCGATTTATTTGAAGTCAAATAACCATTCCTCAAAAGTTATCGAAGCATGCTTGAACGAAGAGGTGTGTGTTTGTGGACAGGATGGTAGAATGATGTGGGTCCTTTCTTCACCAATACGGTCTTGCAAAATTTTGTTCGAGTTTTGAGTGATCAGTTTTTCTGATGACGAGATATGCAATGTCACGAAATTGAGTGAAAATATATTTGTTAGTTTATTTAATTTGAAGAAACAAGTCACATTGATCATTCTTGATGACTTTAATATAGAGTACGCAGTAGACTATTTTTTTTGGGTAACGACTTCCTATTCTTGTACATATGATAAGTATAGACTTCGTCCACAAGCGTTTCAAAAAAATATTGATAATCTTAGTGAAAATATTATCATCGAAAAAAAACATACAGTAATCGAATTTCCAGAACTTGTCCAAAAATATATTAGTTTTTTAATTTAGTTTATCCGAACATTCTTAAATTAATTTTTAAAAATTATCTCATGTAAAATATTCCACTATGGAATCACCATACAAAAAGTAAAAAGTGTCAACGTGTTCACTTTAGAAAATATTAAATGAAAATAATTAGTCATTCCTTGTTTCTTCTCTACATTTCACAACAATGATGTAATTACATGATGTACAAACACCTATGCATTATTCCTGCGTCTTTTATTTTTTCATAACGACATGATGAATTGCATTTTCAATGCTCGAACAAGTCGTTATTTACCCAAAAAAATAGCTTCAACAACTGAAAATTATGAAACAGAACATTTTCATTATGATCATTCAACAAATTCAATTGATTGTAAACTTTTAACAAAAAATCCATATCGTTCGTATTTTCAACAAGTTTATCCAACAAGTATAAACGAACATGAATTAAATAATGATATGTTAAATGTTATTAAATCTTATACCGATAGTCGTGCAAATGAATGTTATATGAAAACAAATTTAAATTTACTTAGTGCAAATTTTGATGATATTGATTGGTTATATGTTAATAAACTTCGTTCATTAATTCGCGGTGTAGATCAATCAAATATAAAACCTTTTTATTATCGTGGTTTAACATTAAGTGATACAGAAATTCAATATTATATAGATAAAAAAAATGAATATTATTATACAAATTCATTTTTATCATTTACAATTGATCGTTTATTAATATATTCAGGTAATTCAATAATTATATTAAAAACAGATAATTCAAGTGAATTAGCAAAGAAAAATCTAGCTAATATATGGAAATGGAGTGCATGTACAGAAGAAAAAGAAGCACTTTTAGCTGTTGGAACAAAATTAAAAATATTAAGTGTACATTACTTTGGTTATAAATGGGAAATTGAAGTTGAATTAGTTGAAGATGAAGAAGAAAATTCATTTTATTGAAATTTTTTTCTTTGTATAATTCACATTTTATCTACTATTCATTTCAAAATATAATGTGTTCCATTGTTTATTTGAATAACTTTGGACAGGAGCAACATAGAAACTGCCAATTGTTACAATTGGGTCTTCTGCAGATTGACGACATACTCCATACTAATTGGCAGGACACATCAAAAGTGAGAATGTCGCAGTGTCACTGATCTGCAGATGTACCTGAAATACTGATAAATTTGACTTTTATATAGATTTGTCGGTAAGTGTATTTTCATTGTGTCTAGTGGGTATTGACATTTGTTGGTAATTTACAGGAGTGGTGTTTTTATTGACGTAGTAAGCTTGAAGAAGTTGCATAACGTCAATATGATGCATCTAAAAATGCAGGGTAGTTGACATGAATCTCTTTGCTAAACATGTTATATATCTCATCGTTTTTCTTTAATGTGCAATATACGATTGTTTGTTTGTACTTAAATTCGATAGACTGTTCAGAAAATCGGCATTATTGATGTTTAATTAGCTGTTACACTTGTCACTTTTGAAAAATGAGTTCAAGATACAGAACGATATTAAAATTGATTCTACTTAATGTTATCATATAACAATTAATATTAAACCTAATTTGTATCACGAGTATGATACATTTCCCGAACATATCAAGTATGAAGAAATAGCATCTTGCACATCCTTGTGATGATCAAGACTCAAATTTTGCTGATTGTAATAATTTCAATCATGATTCAATTATTGAAATAACTTCAATTGGAATCTGCAGAAGACAATGATAATAATCAAACTTTCGTAAAAAAACCATCGACTATCATATTAGACTTGGGATCTTATCCAAGTCTCTTTCATCAGCAATATTTTATTATTACAAATAAAACTAAAAAAACACTGAAGTAGTGAGTAAAATTGAAAAACATCTAATTATTTATAGGGTGTGGTCTTTTTCTTCGCTCACACTCACACTTACATTCTGTTTCTTATTGATTTTTTTTTTGTCTTTTCAAAAGTTGTCATGTGCAAACATCTATCCTACGGTGAATTGTACGTGTGAGTAACTGTTCAGCTCCCATCAAAATAACCGTGGTGTGTGAACATCATCTAAATAACTATCAATTTCTGGTATGGCACCGGTTATTTGAGTACTATGTTCATATGTTAAATTATACGTGAAATTATTCATTGGATGAAATTTATCAGTCCATTCAGTAATAAAAATCAATTGACGATGATAAGGTGGAATACAATCATGAGTAGTCCAAGAAAGTCGAGAATGTTGAATATTTCTTGATTGAATCATGTTTGTATCAAAATTCAAATGATAATTTGTCGACCGATTTTCAACAATAAGCAACATTAATGCTAGGTTTTTCGGTGCAATATAATAAGTCATTTCTTTTTCCTAGAAAATTTGTTATTTAAGTTAATAATTATTATTTACATATGGCAACAAACCTTAGTTGAAGTATGATATTTTTTTATGACAGCTGAAATAAGACAATCAACAAGAAGTGTCGGTGGTTCTAGAGCAATAGTCAAATCAATAGGAATACTTGAATGAATTACAAGAGTATAATCATTGTTTTTTGTATCTTCTCCCCAGAAACTAATCGAAAATGGTATGAGTATATAATTGCCAGGTCGTAATGAACCTGTCCAATAGGTAAATCCTCCTTGACGACTTTTAAGGATATTTTCATGTTTTCCAATACCATCAAATGATGATTCTTCATCAATATCACATAGAACAAATGATTGTGTATGACAAGGACGTGTCCTTCGGTCATGACGATGATACACTAAACTTATGCTAACCAATGATGTTCTAAAAATAATTTATTGAATTATAAACAAAAACGAAAAAAAAGTGAATTGTACTAACTCTGAAATATGAAAACGATAGCTAGGAATATGTTGTGTTGATGAACAAGTAAATTTTCCTTCATGTCGTATATCAAAATGATCTTCATTATAAGTTGAAATGGTTATTGTTGAAAAGTAACGAAGAAATATTGACCAAGAAATCCAAAATGCACCTGAAGAACGAGGTGTATCATTAATCAATCGTAATCGATCAAGAATAGTTGATGTCACATATTTATCAGTATAATTCGAATGAGCATGTGGATCACGAACGAGAACAAAACGAGATGAACAATCAGAAAAAGTATAAGCTGCTAGGATGGAAAATGCATGATTGTTTTGAATACCAACAAGAGAATATTCTTCTGCACTCACATCATTACGACCAGATGATGCACCAATTAACAAACTAGAGAAAAAACAACATATAGCTTTTTGTATTAATATTCATATTTTTAACGCACTTTGATTCATAAGTAGATACGAGTTTAGCCCAGATAATATCATTATCAAGTCTTTCATCTGATGATTGAAGATCGATATAATCACATGGCGCTCCAGTTAATAATTGAAGTCCTTCAAGCATACTTCCACTGATTAAATTATCATAAGAACCATATAATTTTGCACATGCTTTTTCAATCAATGGAACAAATAATTGACGACGTCTAGCTTGAGAAAATGCAAGACATTTTTGACTCGTACAAGGAAAATAATCATCAACAATAATTGTTTTCCATAAACCATTGTGACAAATGCGAACGAAATAGACACCTTCATTATTTACAGTTTGCGTTAGAAGAATATGTGCAAGCATTCGAGGTCGTTCAGTAATTAGAGCTAAAGCTGCCATTAACCAACAATTGCCTAGTGCACCTTGTTCAATATCATTCGGGTGTGGTGATGAAAAAACACTCCATGAGATATGATGAGCTTTATCATATAATGGAAGTGTATCAGAAATTCGTAACCATTGAACAACATCATCGAAAGAACGTAAACCGAGAGAACGACTCGATGGAATGAATTGATCGTCGGCAAAATGTGTTTTTGCCTAAATGAAAAAAAAAATCCTAACTAATTAATAACTTTTATTTGAAAATACCTTTTTACATAAGGTGATTATTTCTTGAAATTTAGTTTCAGGACTTGACTCAAATGGATCTAGACGATCACGAGCAGTAATCGATCTTGGTATTAATTTAATCAATGCTCTATTCATAAAATCCGATTCATTATATTCCTAGATAAAAAATATTAATTTCTTCATTTATTACTTGTCAAAAATAGATAATTTACCAATGCTGGTTTTGTTTGAAAACAAGATTCACAAAACGCATTGCTTGCCTGATTTTTCCATTGGCACCACGGACATTTCCAGATCAATTTTGATGAATCAGACACGAAAAGATTTTCATGAATGTGAGGATTTGTATAATTGCACATTTCGCAAGTAGAATAATTTGTAATAGGATTGTCGAAGTAACATTTTGGACAAGACCATTGATAGGTATTTACAGGTAAGAAACTAGAATAGACATCATGAAAATCGCAAGGCATTGTATTATTTGAATTGCTACTAAACAATACACATACACACCTGAAGATTTATATTGTTGAAAAATGTATTGGACGAAACCAAATCAATTCTTAGAAAACGTTTTTTGTTTTCAAACTCATGTCTAGTAAATATGCTTGTTACCAAGAATGAGACATTTATTTACATTTCTGCTTCTGTTTTGCGCCCTGTTGTAAGAAAGAAAAAGCCAAATAAAATGAAGGTAAATACCAAGATAACATAAACAATATTACGACCATTTGCTTTTCATTCCTCTTCTTTATTACACATGCTGTAATACTTACTTTGTGGCAGATTTGAAGTGAATTCTCCAACAGTCGACTATAATCAAAGGAGGAAGAGCGAAATTCTTAGAAGCTTTCCAAATTTTCAGGGATTCTTAGGGATCTTTGGAAGGTCAATAGAATTCTAACGAATTCTGCAGAATATTGGAGTCTATAGTCAAAAAACTCTTAAATGTACTACTATTGCAGGAAAATCTGTTACCATGCATAAACAATGAATGCAATATTTTCAATAACATTAAGGATTCTGCAATTTTCTCTGGATTTTTATGCTCCGTCTTTTTCTAATTGCACAAATATGAGCAATACAATAACAACAATACTGCATCAACAACATCCACTAATGAATAAATTTTGGGTTTGGTTGTTGTCCTCTTCACACTAACACTCATATTCATAAGATGCCTATTCAGATGGTAACCAATCGATTTGTTTTAATAAACTAGTTAATTATAATAAAATGTTATATATACAACGGGTTATTTGTGAAATCAGACTCGTTTTTTATTATGAATTCATTCGACAATGGTGAAACAGACTAAAATCATCGTTGACGAAAATGAACTAATTCGAATATCGATACATTAAATAGTAAAAGGCTCATGTAAGATTAACAATTTCGTTTTAGTTGTTTTTTTTTTTTTTATAGAATTGACATACATTTTCGACGAAAATAGTTAGCGTAAGTTTGAAGTCGAAGTTTTGCGCCTTCTTCCGCTTTCTTTATAGACCTTACCAACCACAGATAAGAATTCATCACTTTAATACTCGTGTCTCCTATAATTGCATAGACAAAAATTATAGGTTTACAGAGCAAATAGTATCGGTTGAAAATTTTAAGCACAGTTAATATTTTAGTATCTATCTGTACTTGTTTCAATTCGTAGAAAATATCATTAGAGTCATTGATTATTTCACCTGTTTTTGGCAGTTATCATAAATTTTTCTTTTCTTTGTTTATTCATATCGAAAATGATTCAAAAGAAGCCTTTTTGATGCTTTTTCAGTAGCGCCGATAACTAGTATTAATAAATAAATAAATCTTTCATTGTGTAAAACTTTTGATTGTTTCACTTCACTTGTTTCAAACTTTGATGTATATTTCATGACATTAAAAAATAAGTTATACTAAATTATCTGTTAGCTTATATGTAATATGTCAGCCCTATATTTGAATTTCAAACGAGCTTTGTTAACAAACGTTTGCTAGCAATATAATTTCAATGAATTTCATGTATAATTTTGCAATAGAGCTCAGTGTACGTATGTCTTACAAATGTAGATATCTGTTGTTAGATAGATAATCTATAAATAAATAAGTATTAATGGCAAACTAGTTTATTTTCAATCAGTATGAAAATCATTTCAATGTTAGATTCCTAGTGTGCTTAACTAGGAATTCCTTAACGTTTAAACTAATAATTCGTCCATAATACGTGGAATCTAATCGCAATGTAGTTTATAATATCAGATGCCGCATTTTGCTTTTTGTTTGATATCTTATCTTATTTTATTGCTCATAATTAAATAGTTTTTCAAAGACTCAACATAAAAATCTCACAAAATTATTCTATTTTATTTAATGAATTTAATGACGATCATTGTTCAGACGTCACGTAAATTTAGAGAACTAAAATTAAAATTTTCGTTGAAACCGTTATTTTTCTTCCGAATTAGGTACAAAAATAGGAGTGATGCTTTGCTTTTATTCTACTTTGACAAAGTACAATAAAATAGACAAACAACATACCTCATTCATTGATAAAGAGTTGATATTTTTCAACTTTACTTGTATTCTAAATACATTTTTGACAATGTCCTCAACGCCGGACTAACTTCGTTCTCGCTAGTTATTCAATAATATTTAAAATTTCAATTAGCAACAATAAAAATTTTATTAAAACAATGCCTAGTTAGCAAAGAATTTAATTCTATTACAAAAAAAAATTTTTTTTTCTAACCACATGGTCTTTTATATTGTAAAGCTCGTTGTTTATATTCATCAGCACGTTTTAAACATAATGTTGCTTGCTCGCGTAATCTGCTCTGTATATCATTCCATAATCGTTCTAGAAGATCGTCACCATGATCAAATATCATCATTTTATCACAATAATCCATTGCCCATTCCGCATAAGCAGAGACTGATCCACAGAAAAGAAAGATCTGTAGAATATTTGAAGACTCGTAGATTTCTGGCACGACTTCTTTAGCCAAAGAACCCGATACAATGAGATAAATAGGTTCATTTGGATGAGATTGAACATATTGAATACATCTGTTTACATCTGTGAATGTCTGTACATCACCAAGTTTAGTACGAAAACTGCTCATTGGATCTGACGAATTCGCATCGAGCCAAAGAGTGCTATATTCTAACATTATTGTTTAATCTGTTATGGTTACTTCTATTGATTGAAGATAAAATGTTATATGGCTAAAACTTTTCATATGTATATATATACTGCATTCGGATAGAATAATTATACGGGTCCTAACTACATGGGAAAAGTCCAAAATTTATATTTGTCCTTTAGGTAAGTGCATAAAACGTCATAAGAAATAACCTTTGCTACCAACGATGACGCATTTAATCGACACAGAATGAGAAAAAGAACATTTTTCTTTGTTTTTTGTATGGTTTAGTTGGTTTCTTCCAAGAGGAAAAGAAATAGGAATGGAGAAAAACAAGAGTAATCATTACACACAGCTATTATTCGGTTCACATAAAATAAACTCAGAAAGAAAAGTACATTTTTGTACTTCCCCACAGTTCATGATAATTGCTCATATTATTTCGTACTTTAGAGGTACAAAAGTACGTTTTTTTTCTTCTAAAAGTACTCATAAGATCAGGTTTGTATTTTATTTGGCTTTATATTATTAAAGCGATTTTTAGATTTATGAATCTCATGCGAATGATAGAAATTTTTTCATTTTGTTGTTTCTTGGTATTTTATCAAATATTGACCTTAAATTTTTCCCCTCTTATCATCATTAATATTCTTACTCAGGTACATTGATAGTTATAAAGATAAGAAAAATGTTAACTACTGAAGGGTTTAAAAATCTTCATATCGAAAAAAGTGACATTTTCGTATATGTGATGATGTCAAACAAGATTTTTAACGAGAGTAACAGTCTATAAAACTCGAATGATGCATACCAAAGCATAGTTATATAAGATGAGACGTTTTCAAAATAGTCATATTCTTCTATGAAAATTAATTGATTGAGAATTGTAAAAAGTGAATTTCAAGAAAGTGCTTCAACATTTTTGAGCATCTCGTTATTATTTCCATTAATTGAGATCAGGATTTTTAGAAGCATCAATATCATAATATGTATTTGAAAGGGAAATTAAATATGAAATACATGCAACAAATTTTTCGTGGTGACAAAATATTCATTTTTGTATTATCTATCACAAGAACGAATTTCGTCTATAAAATAATGTTGGTGATAAAAGTCAAAATGGTTTCACTTTTTTGAAATAAACTGATGCGCCACATTCACCTGTGTATATACACCAGAGGTCCAACCAGGCCGTGTTTTTCAGGCCTGTACGGCCTGTCAAGGCCTGGTATGTTTTTCAAGCGTATACGATAATGATAAAATACTGAAAATGAGATGTGCAAACAGGGCACTAACACTACTGCAGAACCCGAACCTGACCTGCCTGTTATTGGCNGTCAAGCTCTATAGAATCATGTAAAAATATCTGAGAAAAATGTTTTATTTCATATTTGAATTACTAGTACCTTACTTCTCTGTACCAAAAAAAAAACAAAATATCCAATTTCTGAAAATCTCGTAAGTTCGACATCAAAAGGTCTTCACAACCGTTACTATTTAGTACTAATAAATGCAGCTTTTTACGAGCTTTAATTTGGTATTAAATACTTAGTGAAATCATTTTACATTAAGGTCAAACTCATGAGGCGTAAAGGTTTTTAACACCCTGTAAATATATATATATATATATATGTCATCGTACGTATTAAGAATACTCTAGAAAGCACATATATAGTATTCTAGTTAGAAAACAGATCATTAGATATGGAAATTAAGTCTTTTCATGTAATTTCAATCTATTGAACTGAAAATGTTTTATTTTTGTAGGTTGGAAAGATCTTTATATGAAAGTCTTAACCATCTTGTTGATTACTAATTGTGCTACTTTGATGTTATTGTCGTTCGATAGAAAGTTGTAGAAAAGTTACTTGTAGTGATTGAGAAGACTCTCGAACATAAAAAATCTCTTCATTATTAATAGTTTCACATTATTATTTGACTTTGATTCGGAATGATTGAATGAAATTAAAAATAAAATTTTTATGAAATAAAGATAAGTGTCTAGTGAACTTTTGAATTACTTCTTTTAATAGTTAAACTGAACGTTTTCTAGAATATTAATTAAAATTTGACTGATATGAAAGAATTTCTTGTTGAAACTTGAATATTAATCGGTTTACTGAACAAAAATAAAAAATAAATATTTTAGATTTTAAAAATTAACTTTTAATTTTTTTTAACTGGATAAAAAAAAATAAATTTTTAAATTAAAATTTATTTATTTTTTAAGACATTTACATTCTTCTTTTTTGATAATTTTCGCTAAAAAAAAGAAAATAGATTTGTTAATGAATTTTGTTCAATAATAATTTCCTTTTGTTGACAAGCTCTTTTTATTAATG